CCTGCTGAGAGGTACTGGGCTACTCACTGCTGGGGCATGGTGGTAGTTCCACATGGTTATGGCTCGCAAGTGGTGTCCTCTGGCATCCTCTGCCCTCCTTATTGAAAATTGTCTCCTCAGTTGTGTCTAATTGGTTAGTTCAGGGTGGATGTTCTCCAATTTAGTTACTTTTTTGGCCTGGCCCTAGGAGGAATCGCATGACACTGCTGCCTCTTTAGCCACCATTTTTTTTTATTCTGAGACTTTTTTTTAAGAGATAAAGTTCTCATGATGACCAGGGATTGTTTTCTTTCTTTCTTTCTTTTTTTTTTTTTCCTTTGGTATTTGTGTGTGTGTGTGTGTGTGTGTGTGTGTGTGTGTTTCTTAATTAAATGTTAATATGATCAAGAAGATTTTTAAATGTGAAAGGTAAGGGGAGTAAAAATTGATCAAATATATTATTATAATGTAGGAAGAAAGATATTTGTACAAGAGGTGCCTGCAATTGTCAGAAAAAAAAACACACCCGATAAATATATTGAAAATAAGATTTATCTGCAGGTGTGTGTGTGTGTAAATATATATTTAAGGAGATAAACAGCTTTATAGCATCAGAGAACTGTATTAAATGGTAGGAGAATGCCAACAGAAGGCTGTATCTTACTTTTATGCATAAACCTGGTAGAAGTGAAGCTGACTTAGTACTGTAGGTAAAAAATTGCTGGAATATTTTCAGGAAAATTGCTATGAATTTTTATTACCTGCATGAAGATAAAAGAATGAGAACCCACTAAAAGAAAAAAAAGGAGTCTATGGACTAAGGCTTAAAAAAAAGATGACTCAGGAGTAACAAAAACTTTTCAGACATTAATTTTGTACTGTACAGTACCAATGATGCCAATGTGCAGATGATTTTGCCAAACTGCTACCAGTAATCACTCAGGAGTTACAGAAAATGGGAAAGACTGTAGGGTCAGCCTGGGTTCATGGCAGGAGACAGAAACATTTTAAGCAGGCAGAGATTTAATACGGTAAAATCATTGGAAGGCCTAGAGAGGTGAGCACTAGTCTGGGTTTCCCAAATGACTCCCAGACATGCCAGAGCAGACTCATCAGGAAAGCTTCTGCCTCTGAGACCATGAAGCTTCCAGAATGCCTGATTGTAACAGAGGTCTGGGATTTACAGAGCTGGCCCTGTGCACTCATCACTCTGCTGTCACTACTTCATCGTGCTAGTGACCTGGAGAGCACCGCAGTCTGTGCTTCAACTCCTCCTGCCAAGACTCCGGAGAGTGCTGTCAATCACTGCTTTAGAAGAAGAAGATCTCACATCTCCATGAGACCTTGCTTGCCAACCAGGCAGTGTTAGGAGATGGCCATCCTCACTTGTGCCTACAAATCATTCGTAGTTGCATCAGTGTTACAGGATCTTGTTGGGATCCAGAGCTCTAGATGTAAAAGCATCTGGGAATTATATGTTTAATGCTTAAGTCTCCTTGATGAAGGCAGACATGATTACAAGGTGATCAAATGGAAGTTCAGTGAGCCAAACTACAGCATTCCACACATCTCTAGATAGGCAGTATTCTTATTCTTTCAGAGGGAGGAAAGAGATGATAAGAGATATCTGTTAACATTATTTCTCATATTGGTTAAAAAAGATACCCTGTGAGCCATTAATCACTGGGAATAAGGAGTTTCTTAAAAAACAAATCATATTGGATAGCTTATTAAAGTGATAAGTAATAGAACTATATGGCTATAATGTATCTAGATTTTAACAAGGGTTTTGCCTCAATCTTTTATATCATGGGGCAAACTTATGAAATGTGGTCAAGATAGTGTTATAGTTACATGGATTCGTAATTAACAGACAGATTAAGAAATGCTGATTAGTAGATAAGTATCCAGTTTTAACACACACTGTAGAAATTTATGTTGATCTTGCCCTGCATTATGCAATGACTCCAGCAAGGACATTAACTTTTAAAACTAGCCGTAGTCAGTATTTCTTGAGTGCTCACTCTAGGCAAGGCACTATAGATACATGAAGTTGTTATTATCCCCACTATAAATATGGGGAAACTGATGTCAGAAAGTGCAAGTGGGTTGCCCATAGCTTTGAGTCAGGTAAGCAGCAGTACTGAGATTCATACCCAAAATTGCTTTAAGGAAGAGGTCACAGAGGGACAGAGAATGCTACAACATTTCTAGGAGAAACTGGCCAGTGTCGTAACTGCTCAGAAAGCCGGGGAATTGCCATTCTCATTTATCCCACAAGAAGTCTAGGGCTGGCCCATTATCTTGCAAGATCTGGTCAGTATCTCACGAACTCAAACGCACAATGACAATCTTCACTTAAAACTCACATAATAAAACCATTTGCCAATTTATTAAACTACTAGAGGCCCAATGCACAAAATTTGTGCGAGAGTAGGCTTTCCTTCCCTAGCTGCCAGCCCTGGCTTTCCTCTGGCCACAGGCAGGCACCTGGAACCCAGGCTTCCTTTACACTGTTGATAGGGACCAGCTTTCCCTCGCAGCCCTGGCTTCATACAGAAGGATGTCCAGAAAGGACGTCTGGTCTAATTAGCGTACTATGCTCTCATTGTTATGGATGAGAAATGTGACAGTCAAGTGACCAAATTTGGACACTATTCTTGCCTGCAACATCTGAAAGAGAGCCTGATAAGCAAAACGTTGATTGCAGAGGATGGAATCAGCCTGAGGAGACATTGATCAGAATGCTAACAGGCTGTAATCTCTGACAGTCACAACAGGAATGCAAATATCTGCTGGCTGGCAGGACTCCTGATCCACCTGGGAGGCAATCTCTTATTTGGCCAGGTAGTGTCAGAATTTGCCTTTCTAACTCCTTTTGATACACGTTTATGACTGATGACTATTCTTTCTTTAGATATTTTAATGATTTCAACTAAGTTGTTTTGGATTAAAAGTTAGGTGGTTTTTTCTTTTCTTTTTTCTTTAAGGTGTTTATTCTGATCAGTTTACTGCTGGTAAAATTACTTAACCTTTGAAATTATAATTTCTGTATTTACAAATCCACTGTTGTCCTTGTGCACTACCTATAGACTGTAGGTCCATCGGATTCCTTTATATGTGCTTCCATTGGTAACTTAACAAGAACAAATAAGAACAGAAGTACCAGTGCTAACATACGGAATTAAATAGCAGGACAGGTACTTTTTTTTTAAGACAACATTTTCATTTCACATACGCTCATTGTGAGTCAACAGTGTGCAATGTGTGGTTATCAAAGAAGCCAGGATAGAGTTCCCTGTATTAACTGTGTCATCATAATGAATGAGCAACTGAATGTCTGAGAGAGTGGATAGCCTTACCCTTCATTGCCTGGAGTAACAATGTTTATTTAGTGCAGGGCTCACATTTTCAGATGATATTCACAGGCTGGAATATGTTCTGAGGAAACTGATCAGATGGCGATGGGCTTTGAAATCACATTCTGACCAATGGAGGTAGGACACTGGTGATATTTAGCTTAAGGAAGAAAAGATTTAGGAGAAAAGCTAAGTGTTATTGAGTGCTTATAGGCCAGGCGTTGTGCTCAGTCTTTTAACAGACTCCAAGCATTGTGGGTCTATCATAAGGAAAAGGAAATGCTTCACTTTGAGTTGCCCTGGAAGGCAGACAGTAATCAATACATTCCATGAAAAGACAACTCTGCTTAGTAGAATAATGGCATTTCTAACTCTCAGAGCTGTTCAACAGCAGAAGGAGCTGCCTTAATGTTAAAAGAGCTCACGTTTTTGGAGATGCTCAAGGAAAGACTGGTCAGACTTTTGATGGAGATATTTTGGAGAGGAATAAGTGCTCAATGGAGGCATGGATCAGAGGACCTCTGATCCTGTGAGTGTATTGTTATCTTACAACACAGTTATCCTTTTTGTTTGGCTTCCAGTTTAGTGACATTAACCTTAAATGGTAAATGGCACTTCCAATTCAATAGATTAATTGGTATGGGGACACTAGTTGCTATGTCATTCCTGGAAACTTAGACAACCCTTTCTGGCAACTCAGACAGTACAGCACAACTTGCAGGGATGGGAAAGACATTTGTGAGTAGGCCATTAGGTATGATAGCAGGAAGAGACCAACTTCCTCATTTGTCCCAGACCCATGTATTCCGAGAATGGGAGAAACAGGACCATATATTGATTGCGTTTTCAAAGCATGGTAAATGATCTCAAATAATTTGAAAGCTTTAAATGTAAGTGGCTTTCATTTCCATGTTTGTATTTAAATAATAAATATTATTGATGTGTCTGAAATTTCCTGATTGCACTCCCTATTTTGAGGTTTGTTATAGTTAATGAGGGAACTTTGAGTTTCAACCAACCTGTGCTTTCATGGCAATCAACATCACACCATAACAACTGGTACCTTTGAATGGGGAAAACATGAATGTCCACATAAAATAACCAAAGGATGTTGAACCTAGAGAACACCTAAATATCACATCAGACTAGCCGAGAATTGCAAGCCTAGAGAGATGAAATGACTCACTCTTGTCCTCACTCACTGATACAATTATATGTTGTATTCTTGCCAGGATTCTTTTTCTTTCTTTCTTTTTTATTTATATTCTTCCAAGTAGAATTTTTTTATATTGGTCACTCATCTTTTTATTTTTAAAAAATCTTTATTGTTGAAAGTATTACATATGTCCCCCTTTTTACTCCATTGATTCTCCATAGCCCTCTTTCCCTCCCTCCTACCCACTCTAGGCCTACATCACCTTATTGTTAATATCCATGATTGGTGTCTTCCCACCCACGCTCACCAAGATTCAACAGTATGTTCCATGCTTCTATATCTTTATTCACAGCCTTGTTGACCTGTGATGTGAGGAGAGTATCTGAATAGGAATATATATATATATATATATATATATATATATATATATATATTCCTATTTCTGTAGGCAGTAGTGCTAAGGACTCTTTTGTTTTTAATCCTGGACTGTTCTTGGATCTCTGCAGTGCTGCATATGATGCTGTCCTTGACAGAAATGTGGCCATTAAGAAGCTCAGCAGACCCTTTCAGAACCAAACGCATGCCAAGAGAGCTTACCGGGAACTGGTCCTCATGAAGTGTGTGAATCATAAAAACGTGAGTTGTTTTTTAAAGCTCTGATAGTGGAAGGTTGTGAGATTGGAGGGGAAAAAAAATTACTATGCCAACTTGAATAGGAAAAGCTTTCCTTATTTTACAATTTGTCTTTTAAGATAGTTTATCCTGCCCATACACTACATTTAATTTCATTGTCCTCATGGTAGCTTTCTGCTTAAAAAATCATCCAAAAACCAAATGGCACAGAGGGGATAAATTTGGTAGATATTTCCCTGTTATGAAATTAACCATATTTGGTTATTGTGTTCCAAATTAAGCGGAGAGCTCCATTCTTCTCCAAAAAAACAAAAAACAAAAACAAAAAAATATCCTATAGAACAACATGCAATGTTTCTTTACAATTTCAACTTAATTATTAACAGATGAAGATTTTTATCTTCTTTTTCTTATACCTGTAGTCTGGCAGTGGCCCCCACCTGTTGAGTACACACGCTTTGCTTTGGCAACTTGTTTTTGTAGGGCTGTGTAGCCATGCAGGGGGATATTTGCAAAGCACTTCAGAACAGGATCAAGAACATTTCTCCTTGGAACTCAATAGGGTTCAACCATTATGGAATTTTCTTCTCTTCCAAGTATAAGCTTCTTCACCCACAGGCAAAAGCCACTAGAATTCTTTCTACATTTTCATTTATTAGTAAGGATAAGTAGGAGATAATTCATTATTGTAATAATGACTATTATTAAGAAATAAAATATAATAAATATAGTACATATAAATATATAATAAAGTTATCCTATATAATAAAAGCCTAATATGCTAAGTGTCTGGCCATCCAGTCATCCATTCAACCAAAGTGTAATATGCTAATCATATGCTAAGGCTGCACAGCTGCTCATTATGATGTACACTGCCCACCAGGAGGCTGACAGTTGACTGGTGGACCAGTTGCTATGATGTGCACTGACCACCAGGGGGCAGATGCTCCAACTAGTAAGTTAACTTGCTACTGGGTCCGGCCCATGGGCAATATAGGGACAGACATGCCCTGGAGCTCTCCCATGGTCCCTCTTATGGTTCCTTCCTGGCCACCGGCCCCAATCAACCCTGAACAGTATTGGGCAAGACAGCCCTGAACAGCTCCAATTGTCAGCTAGATGGAGGGACCGCACCTATGCAAAAATTCGTGCACCAGGCCTCTACTTATATTATAAATTATTATACACCTGTATAAACAGTAACTATTATAACTCCCTACAAATTTTTTCTTAAGAAAATCCCACTGAATATATGAAACTAGAGGCCTGATGCATGAAATTGCATGCATTCCTTATCTTATGTAATTCTAGGCCTGGCTGGTGATCAGGGCTGATTTATGGGATGACTTGGTGGAGCAATCAGAGGGTTCCCTGTTGACATCCACCATGGCCAGCTGGCACTACCTGCTTGCTAGCCCTACCTCCCAATCATTCCACCATGGCCGCCAGTTGCCTTCCTTGGTGGGGCAACAAGCGGGGTGATTGAGGGGGCCCCCAGAGGCACCCGCCTTGGCTGGCCTGGGGCTTGTGGGCCGGAGGCAACTCTTGTGTTTAGTGTCTGCCCCCTCGTGGCCAGGGTGCACATAGCAACCAATTGTTCCACTGGTTCCGCCGTTTGGTCTATTTGCATATTAGGCTTTTATTATACAGGATTATCAATGTAAGCTTATAAATAAATGAATTTGTCATAAGGTACATCTAATCAATGGCACTAAGAAGAAGCAAATACATGAGTGTTTAGTTGAAGGATATTTAAAATACAAATATATGGATTTAGGCTCAATGGCTTCATTTCTCTTTTCTTCTATTACACTGTTCCAATGACTTTTTAGTTTTAGTCATTTGACAAATATTTGTTGAATGAATAAAATGTGCCAGATACAGATCTAGATATTCTGGGTACTAGGAATAGAGCAGTGGAGATAGCAGAGATGGAGTCCTGCCCATGTGTAGCTCCTGCTCCAATGGCAGAAAGCAGTCTACCAAACTGATAGGTAAAGTATGGAATGGCAAATGGTGATTAGTACTATTAAGTAAAACAAAGCAAAGAAGGAAGATAAAATTCTGGTGAATGTGGGGTGCAGTAGGATTATTCTTTTAAATAGACTGAGCAAGAAACGCCACTCTGAGAAAAGGAAATATTATGAAGTATGTACCCATCTTTAATTTTTCTATGCAAGGAATATGGTACTTCTAAAAAGGAACATAGAAATGATGGAAAAGATAATTCCCAAGAAAAGTAATTTTACTAAAGCAATTTGTTCTTTCAGTATGTTAGATAAAGAGAAGAGCAAGAAAACCGCATGACCTATACAATCTATTTTTATATTAGCAAAGAGCATGAGAAATATTATAGGCAATGGAAGATGGATGGATACTAGTATTGAAGCAACTATGTGGAAAAGTTTGATAGTTTGTGTTTTCATATGTTTATATTTTCCTAGTCCTCCTTCCTGCCTGTATATATAATAAATGCATTGCAAAGAAATTTCAACTTACTTGGAAATCATATTCCCCATTCTTGATGGGGAATTTTACATTTATGTGAAATATGGAGGTTCACAATTATGATACCTAAAAAGAAGTTCCACATTGAAATGATAATTCGTAAATGTCATCCTATTTGCTACCATCTTTTGTGTGTGTACGTATGTATGCAGCCATGCATGGTCTATAAAAGTTTATGGAAATAAATTCTGGAACTTGTTAACAGAGAGAAAGTTCACTTACAACCAAGTGTAAATTTCACTTCAGTACTTGTACTTGTAATATTAAGTAAAAGCAGTCAGAATGCAGAACTGTGTTAATGCTGTGGAAAGTGAAGTGAAACATAGATTAAGTACTTTACTAACAAGCTTTAATGATAGTTTGAAATGAATTTATTTTTTATGAATATTCCATACTGTATGGTTGCTGTAGTAGAGATGATCTTGGGTTTTTGGTATGTTATAACCATTGACATATATATGAAAATAATGGATGATATTATAATATTTTTTCTTAATAATTCCTCAACAAATGAAAACTACTTAAGGCCTAAAAGCATTCCTTAGAATTGATTGCTTTTCTTTTAGATGATTAAAATAATTATTTTATTTTAATTACTTCATATGTTTCTGTACCAGTTATTAAGTTTATTAATTCATGTTTTAAAGTTGTATAAATCTTAACCTTGTACTTATAAAATTTTTGTGAAATAGTTGCATCTATACTGTGAGTAGAAGATAGTTATTTATATTTTTTATTTTTATTTCTCATCACATTAGTGCAGAATAGTTAGCAGAAAGAACATTTTCAGTTATCTGTGTGTACAATTTATTTGGAAATATGTCAAAGGAAATTATTTTTAAAAAATTTACTTATACTAGAAGGTAAAATTATTTACTATCAAATATATAGCACAAAGCAGGAAACAATAAGTTTAATACTAGTAAACAAACTTTTGACAACTTTTTCCCATTTTTTACTAAATTTAATATTGGTATCATCCCAGATATACCTTTCCCCACACATACTATTGGATCATTAGTTTAAATAATATTTGAGTGTTAAATAGAAGCAAAAGAAACTAAATTAACAATAAAAAAAAATCTTGAACTAGAGGTTCACCTTGAATAAGAGGTTCACCTTGAATTAGAGCCCCACCTTGAATTGGAACACCACCCAGCTCACTTAGAGGAAAAACATGGCCTTGCTAAGTGTTGTTGGGTGTTTCACTGCTGCTCCCTTTTCTTACATGCTTTTCCTTCTTTGTTTAATGACCTTGTATTCTACCAAGTATAACCATACTCTAATGTAGTATCACAATTACATATCTTCTCTCTTTCTTTTGCCTAAGAATTCCAGCTTTTTAATTGTATTTTAACCTGAAGACAAACCATACGCCCTTTCTGAGTATGTTTTCCCATGTTCTGTGAGACAGTTCTAGAATTTTTTCCAACTTTTCTGTTTCTACCGTAGCACTAGAGTGTGACTTTGAGTTGGAAAAAATGCTAGTCTAAATATGCTTTTAAAATAACTCATTCTCTCCCTTTTTTCTTTCACTCTTTCTTCTGTCCTTTCCACTGTCTCTTTTCCAGATTATTAGTTTACTAAATGTCTTCACACCCCAGAAAACGCTGGAGGAGTTCCAAGATGTGTAAGTAACAAAACTCACAAAGGAAGGAAGAGTATAGCACTCTAATAACGCAAGGGAAATTGACAAAAATAAAATAGATGAACTCCCTTGCAGAGATCAAAGGAACATGAAAGCTGGCAGCAAATGAAAGGGATCTCCAGTGACAGGACAGAGTTTCTGTTTCTGGTGTTATTTCTGGTTCGCTGTGCTTTGTTGTTCCATGTTCTTGTTTCAGTTGGAGAAAGTATATTATCAATTATGTGTTTTTTGTTATTGTTGATTCTGTGAGTTATTTAGAATGAGTTAATTTCCTTTGAGAAATATCACTAAAGAGAGATCTGATAATAATTGTCTGTAATATTTATTTTTATGGTGCCTTTGATTTTGTGTAAGAAGAATCTACCTAGAAGTATAGTGTTGACAAGCAGAGGAGAGAAAGTGAATCATAGCACCTTATTTTGTGTAATATAGATGCATTGCATTTAGTGGAAGATGCTATTTTGAATTTTCTTATTTATAATCATAACTAGAGGCCTGGTATGCAAAATTTGTGCACTGGGGTGTGTGTGTCCCTCAGCCCAGCCTGCTACCTCTCCAATCTGGTACCCCTTGGGGGATTCTGACTGCCAGTTTAGGCCCGATCCCTGTGGCTGCTGGCTCCTAACCATTCCTCTGCCATCCTGATTAACATCTAACTGTTCCTCCCCTGCTGGCCCAATCACCCCCAACTGCCCTCCCCTGTTGGCCTGATCATACCTAACTGCCTTTGACTGCCTGATCACCCCTAACTGCTCTTTCCTGCTGGCCTAATCTTACTCCCAACTGCCCTCCCTGGCAGGCCTGATATTGCCCCCCAATTGCCCTCCTCTATTAGCCAATTTGTTTCTGATTGGTCAGTTTCTATGCAGTCAGTGTCAAAAATTCTGCCTCCTAGGCAGCCATTGGCTCCTCACACTTTACCCAGATTTGGTTCTGATTGGTCAGTTTCTATGCCAGTCAGCGTCTCTGGATCTGATCAGAAAGTCAGGGCTGATCAGCAGCCAGCTGGAGGCCTGGAGAGAAATGGAGACACAGCTGCTGATCAAGCCTGGAGCTAAAGAGAGAGGCAGGTGCTGATCAACAGCTGCTGCAGAGGCTACAGATCAGACCCTACTTCTCTCTTTAGGCCTCTCTCTGGGCCTGATTCGCAGGCCCCTTAAGGAATCAGTGCTGGGTCACTGTGCCTGCAGCTATAACAGTTAGTGCTGGGTCGTCATGGCAACTCGGCATTGACTGTAGGACTGACTTTCAGTTGGTCCAGCCTTCTGGTCATTGTGAACATGATGGACTCAGGGTTTTTATATATTAGCATACTTGGGAAAGAGTTTCAGGAAATTCAGGGGAAAGTAAGAACAAGACAAGTGTAGAAAATATATGGGTAGGAACCACACACTAATAAAATGCTTCTTCTATTAGCGATGTGTGGTAGAGTTAGCATGAGTTACATGCGTGCAAGACTTAGAAATTTTTCATATTCTTGATCCAGTCAAATGTGGAGCTTGGGAGTTAGAAAGACTTCCAGATTTAGAAGAGGATTCTGATGTATTTGAAGGATTAAACAGATTATTTGGAACTAAACTGTGGATTTGCCTTCCAGTTACTTAGTAATGGAACTGATGGATGCCAACTTGTGTCAGGTGATTCAGATGGAATTAGACCATGAACGAATGTCTTACCTTCTATACCAAATGTTGTGTGGCATCAAGCACCTTCACTCTGCTGGAATTATTCACAGGGTAAGAGAAATATAAAGAAGATGTTTTAGAGAAGAGAAACTAACTGTAGATTATTTTCTTTATCTATGGGACTTAATAGACTGTCCTTGCTCAAATACACTGTCCTTCCTCATTTCTTTAATGTTAGAACTAGCACATAATTCACTATTGTGTAGAAGGAAATTTTAGCTGTTCTGTAGTTGATGTTGTTAAACGTTATGTTTCAGCTCATTGAGAGTCAGCTTCTGAGAGACCTCATGTCTTCTAGTCCATGATTGGCAGAGGTCAATATGTGAAGTTGAAATAAGACAGCTCATTTATTCAGTTTATTTCTGACAGAATAGACAGCTGACCTGATCTGCTCTCCTGTCAGGCCATCATGAAATATAAGCTGAGATGTTTATGTTGCCATAAAAAGAAAGCTAACAGATGACGATACCCTACCACCCCCTCTAAAAACTTTTTTTAATATGAGCTTCAATTGTAAAGACGATAGTACAATTCTCTTCTGGGTTTAACAAGGTTTCTGATGTTATTACAAAAACTCTGAAAACTCACTGTAAACTCCTTTGGGGCAACAATCATTTGCATTATGTAGGGCTCTGCAGTAAGGGGAGGGGCCACCAGTGCTACTGCAGGATTACCATGTTGATTAAATAAGTAAATGAAAATCACAGGCCCCATGCGATGCTGGCTTTTCATTCCCTCTCTCGTTCCTATTGTCAGGATTTAAAACCAAGTAACATTGTAGTCAAGTCTGATTGTACATTGAAAATCCTCGACTTCGGACTGGCCAGGACCGCAGGCACGAGCTTCATGATGACTCCTTATGTGGTGACACGTTATTACAGAGCCCCTGAAGTCATCCTGGGAATGGGCTACAAGGAGAACGGTAGGGATACTTCTGACTCACAGCCACGGAGACTGTGAAGGAAATGAGTACATGTTTCATATGAGTACATAGCCAAGGACAATGTTCTCTTTCATGTATATAAATATTATTTTTAATAGGGCTGCCAGCTTTCGTAGTCAGAGTCTTGTTTTGTTTTTGTTGTTTATTTGTTTGTTTGTTTTAAAACATACTACTATGGAAACTCACTCATTAAAAATGTGAAGGATGCCTCCAAGAAGTGAGCTTTGCTAGAAGAACACTAAAATGTTATAGCCGCTCCCTTTTCTTACATGCCTTTCCTTCTTTGTCCAACTAAACAGTGAAATGGATACTATTGAGCGCATATGCTTTAGGTATTGAGGAAAAAATGCTATTTGAGTTGCAGATCAGCTCAGAGTGAGTGAGAAAATGGGAATAAATCTATTATATTTAACCATTTGGCTTTATGTCATATATCAGAGAGATGGCTCTAGTCCTAGGGAAAGACAATAAAAAATACACCACTCATCTTTGGAGTGAGAGCCTTTACAAATGCACAGTGAACACGTGACTAAAAATAACCCAGGTTGTTCATGTTGGATAAGAGTTTCTTTATTGTTTTAAACTGATCTGTATGTAGTATTTAGGATATCAGGCTTTTTTTTTTAATATAAATTCCAAAAACCAGAGAGAGAGAAAAATATTTTATACTACTGCTTTCATAAAGGAAACTTGTAGTCATGACCACTTCAAAAGAAAAGGTAAAATCTTCCAAATGTATGCCAATATGGTTTTATTGATTAAAATCAAAGATTTATAAGTACCTATCAGAAAGTATTGCAATATATTCTTCCCAAGTTATTTTGTTTTTTAAATCAAAGGTAAACCAATTTATAAAATCAAGGATCCACAGAGGCCGTCTGAATGTGCCTGTTATGGGTTGTCAGAGCGTTGCTGTACAGATGGTGATAATCTCATCCCTTCTCCTTTCCTCACTAGAAAGGGTTGCAAGTTACTGCCTCAGTTTTTTGGCATCTCTAGATCCGTGGAGAAACTGCACCTCGCACCTGTGCTGTTCTCCCACTTACATGTAGGAGGAATGTTATCATGCAGAAAAACCTGCTTGCTACATAAGGCATGTCCAGCTAACCCGTGCACCTAACCCTGCCTTCCTTCCCCAAGGATGTTTCAGACTAATGTTTTTGCCTCCAAGTTCCCCTTGTCCTTACTAAAAAGCTAATTGGAAGAGGAGAAAGACTGGGAAGAGAAGGTGAAGCATGTTTGGTTAACAAGTATGATAAATATATGAATTTAACAATTTTAAAAATACCTTTAATATTCCTTTTCACTTTAATTTCAGATGATTCTATGAAACATGTGCTAATTAATGTTATGTTTTTAGAAAAAATTCAAGTAGATATTTATTTATAAGAATTATTTATGAAGGAAAAACTAAGTCCTAAAACCAGGGATTCGAATACTTCTGCCTTAAAACTATGGTTCTGGCCATTTCCTAGTTTCTTGGATTGGGTTGCACGTACAAAAAAAATGTATTCCATGTAACTGAATAGGATAGACAATGGAAACAGCCACTGTCTGTGTTAATGAAGACATTCTTGGTTAGTTGCTGCTTTTCCATTTCACCGTTTCCTGGCACTAAAGTCTAAGGCACCCATAAAGTAATTTTTAAAAATTAAATTGAGCTCTCAAACTAGACATTAGACATTGATTATGTAATATTATAGTGCTGATTTTAATTCACCTTTTTGGTCAACTTTTGGAGGGAAACAAAAATTGTACCTTCTAATTAACTGTTCTTTTTCCTTCTCCTTCAGAGATCAATTATCTTAGTTAACTTTCCTTTCCTCCCTTTTCTTCACTTCCCTCTCTCCTGTTCCAGTGGATATATGGTCTGTGGGATGCATTATGGGAGAAATGGTTCGCCACAAAATCCTCTTTCCAGGAAGGGACTGTATCCTTGTACCTTTTGCTGCAGCTTTACATGTCTTGTTCTCTCTCCCTTTAAACACCTAACAGTTTTACCAGGAGAGTAAAGATAGAAGCAAAAAGTTGGGTAAGTGGTGTAATTGTGATTTTTTTTTAAGTGATGGTTTCTATAATCTGACCAGTACTGAAAACTATCTACCACAATGATTTAATTACATTTCAATGGGCTTTTTTGTTTTTAAATTATTTTGTATAAATCTAAGTAGCGGTGCTATTTTTTCATAAATAAGAAAAGCAACCAAATCCCAAATTATTAAAATATACTTATTTTTATAATTAGAAAAACAAGCCACTATTTGCAAGTATTTTCCATCTGCTTTCTAAAACTAATTTATGCTTCTATAACACTTGGGCAAGCTTTTGTCTATAGCTTCATTCATTTGAATTGCTCTTGACACTATATCCAGTCTTAAATAGGTCATTATAGCATTTTCTTCTTAAAACATGAGATTCTACATTTAAAAAGCATAATTATTATTCAAATTGCTGGGTGCCTGGTGGGTTTAAAATAGGCCTCTCTCATTTGACTTGGATATGTGACTTAGACATAGATAATTACTTTTCCAATGAAATGTAGAATTTTTAAAAGCAGTGTTGATTTGAGTTCTACCACTGAGTCCTGTACTAGATTTCATCAGAAATTCCTTGGAGTGATATTTATGAGCTGGAATTATTAAATGAGCTGGTATAGTTCTGAAATGAACAAAAGCTTACACTCTAACAAAGGCACATATTTGTCATTGGAATATACAGATAATAAAGTTTACATATTAATAGAGAATATACTTTTTAAAATACAGAAATACCCTGCTAATACACAATAGTGAAATATAAGTGCAGCAAAAGTTGAGAACTTTCACAATGATAATGGAAGATTGAGTTCAATATATTTACTATATATGACTTTTTTTGGAAATTACCAATAAACATGTAGTCCATAACACTATTAAATCTAATATTTGAGTAATAAGAAGGCTCTGTTAAGGAACTCTTTTACGTAAGAAAGATTATGATTGATATTTAGTAGAAATAAAAGAAGGAAAGGCCTATAATAAAAGAAAATTGGACTCAATAAGAAATTAATGCCATATTGGACATATATTTATGTGGACATTTATTTATTCTGCTGGATATTAATGAGATATTCTCTAAATTCCAGTAATAATGTAAGAGTAATGACATCTTCTAGACCTATACTGCCCAATAGGTAGCCACTAGCAACACGTGGATATTCAGTATTGGAAATTACAGCTAGTCTGAATGGAGATTGTTATAGGTGTAAAATGTATACTAGGTTTTGAAGATATAAAAAGGAAGCATGTAAACATCACATTAATCATTTTTATGTTGATTATGTATTAAAATGCCATTTCATTTTACTTTCCATTAATTATTTACATTTTGAGGATCAATTTTTTATTCGATGCAGTTGATTTGAATAATATTTAAAGTTCATATTTATATTTAAATGTACTGATTTCATACAAAAGTATAAATTTTTTTCCCTTTGTTCTTTTGCCTTTAGGGTATAACACATTTCAGATTTAAAAAAAAGAAAATTTCTCAATCAGTACTTAAAGACATCTATTTCTATAAAGCATTGTTAATGAAATACAAAAAGTCACAATGCCTCATTTCCATGTGACATTGTTGCAGTGTCTTTGATTTTTTATTAGCATGGTTCTCTATCTGATTTAGCTCTTCAGACTTTTTTTTTCTTTATTGATTAAGGTATTACATATGTGTCCTTATCCCCCCATTACCCACCCCTCCAAACCCCCACTCATGCCCTCATCCCCCTGTTGTCTGTGTCCATTGGTTAGGCTTATATGCATGCACACAAGTCCTTTTGTTGATCTCTCCTCCTAACCCCCATCCTTCCCTACCTTCCCTCTGAGGTTTGATGGTCTGATCGATACTTCTCTGTCTCTGGGTCTGTTTTTGTTCATCAGTTTATGTTGTTCATTATATTCCAGAAATGAGCGAGATCATGTGATATTTATCTTTCTCTGGCTTACCATAGCTAAGATTTAGAAACAGCTCTTCAGACTTTTATCAGAGTTGCTTTTTACTCATTTTAACAGTTTTAATGTCAATAAAATGAGAAAGAAAAAGGACATTTTCAACCTCTTCAGAAAACAAGCAGGCAAAAGATAATAGTACCATATTAATAATTCTTTATTCTTCCAAAAATTCTTCTCTTGGACTTTTTTATTCCCCCCTTTTATTTTAGTTTATATTTCAGAAAAAAAAATGTTTGTAACTGAAAGTAAATTGCGCAAAAATCAATGTATAAAATAGATATCCTTAATAAGTTTGATCCTAGAAATTGAATACATCCTACTACACAAAATGTAGATTGTGATAAGGGCTTGCATTCTGAATTCCTTCATCTCATGTGATGATTATGGAGAGTGGTCTTTGATAGTCTCCTGCCATTTTTGATCATGAGCCTATATGAGGACCTAATAGTAAACAAGAAAGTTACATAAAGACATTTATAGTGGAAGCCATTTTGCTTAAGTTAAATTCTACTTAAATATGGGTAAATAATTTTGAGATTAAAATGAGTTAGAACTGCATCTTATTGAAAATGTATTAATTTGGATTTAAATCCTTAGTTTATTTTGCCTGTAATTAAAGTTATAATTTAACATTGCAAGTCATTGCCACAGTTTTAAAAGGAACTAAACCATAGAAATCTCAATTAAACAATGAGGTACACATAATCTTTTTTTTTTTAGTGGAATTGTTTCATTAATGTTTACATAAAATTATTATAATTTTATGACTACAGTTTTCTACCAAGAATCGAGATGTCAGAGAATTGAATTAATTTTACTAAACAATGATTGTCAGACACAAGTTGAGGGGCTGATGGAGACTATGTATCAGAAGAATCATACCAATATTTTAGCATTTAAATGATTCTAGCATGTACTGGAAGGAATATAAAAGATTGGTATATGATAATTGATACCTTGTTTACTTCCATGGTTCTTCAGAGACTTAAAAATAAAAAGGTTATAGGTTTTCTTAACTTTCACTTAGAATTATTCAGTTTCTCTGAGGCTAAAAAGTGTTTGATAATACTTTATCTTCCCCTATCAACATCCAACATTATTCCTCTCTCTCCATAAAACTTCTTAATACTAATTTTTCTAATCTGAACCTTAAGCAACCTTTGACAAATTGAGAAATCTTTTGAAATTATTATTTATGCCTACAGTGTTAGCTATTTTCCTACATTGAAACTGGCTATATTTGAGAAATATTTTATAGGTTTCTTAACTATTGAAATATGACTCAGATGATATCACATGATAGATTTTTTATTACTAAATTAAAGGGTTGGCTAAATGAACAAATAAATATACATATTTGCTTTTGCAATTTAATAGGTTGATAATTTTTTAATATCCAAAGTAAATAAAATACTTAATATTTATTGTATACTTAATTTATACAAATGTATACTATTACACACTTGATTTTTACTATAATACTATGATTAAAACCTATTATATTTCATACATGTATGTTGACATAATATGTATTGATAGTATTAGCCAAAAGTCTGAGGCCCATGCTGAATTCAAGCCAGAGAGCAGTAGCTATGCCGGGTCAATTATTTTCTTTACATAATCCAAATATCACATGAAGTATGAGTGACTTCACATTTCATTCAGATTTTGTTTCTTTTATTTATTTTTATTTATTTATTTTAAATATATTTTATTGATTTTATACAGAGAGGAAGGGAGAGAGATACAGAGTCAGAAACATCGATGAGAGAGAGTCATCGATCAGCTGCCTCTTGCACACCCCCTACTGGGGATATGCCCGCAACCAAGGTACATCCCCTTGACTGGAATCGAACCCGGGACCCTTCAGTCCCCAAGCCAACGCTCTATCCATTGAGCCAAACCGGTTTTGGCAGATTTTGTTTCTTTTAATAAGAACTCACAATAAAGCAGTTTGATGATGTTTTGTTTTGTTTTGTTTTAGGACTAGTCACTTACTCCTTTCATCTATTGTACTTCACACACAAACCAGGGCTTGCCATTTTCTTTATTACTGAAGGCTTGTGTAATACCAGTATACTTTTCATGATTTCTTTCCTTAAGCCTGCTTCTTTTAGATATTCTACTTTATTTTCCCTCAATCCTACTTCACATGGTAGCACCTTCTTTTAGCAAGACTTATAATGTTCCTTGGCCAGTTTTCTGGACCTGGGTGATATTAAAGACAGGTACACCATCCTTAGACCTCAAATATATTATCTTTGATTAATGCTCATAGCTGAGCTGCTAAAACACCACCTCTTGCTTTTCTGTCTGAAAATATGAGAAATTTCAGTTAGAATGAAAAGATATATACCTATAACCTTGCCAAGGAGCCAAGTTGTTAGGAAACTGGTAGATGGTTTTTTAAAATATATTTGAAGAAATAAAGAAAACACTCTCAAAGTAATTGACTGTCATATCTTTTCTAAGCTCAAACATGAAAATTAGGAATAATCAAAATAAACTAAACAAAAATTGAAGATTGTGGATGATTATCTACAGATAGCATAGATAGATGCTCTTAATCCTTTTATCTCCTTGAAATAACTGCTTACTTCCTAAAAATTTGCAACTAATACATTCCTATAGTTCCAATCTATTCCTCAATAAAAAGATAATACAGGGTTATCTCAAACAATATATAATTTTGACTTTAAATAAAGTTGGGAGGTAAAAACCCAGTAGTCATTCTTTCACATTCATAAGCAAATTGCATATAATAATGAACATAAAGATTATTTATTCATTATTTCTCTGTATTTGTTGAAAATAATATATTTTCACCAATAACATGTTTACTATTCTTTTCTTTTATTATTAGTTAGAGAAAATCTGAGTGAGACAGGAATCACTAGAATGGAAACTAGGGATTTTGAGGGATCTGAAAAGATGGAAGTAC